AAAAATCTAGGCATTGCTACTCACCAATATGCTATCATTTGAAGTATCATGAAGATCCAGTAGCAATGCCAAATACTTCACTTTTTTTAAACTAAAAGAATATATGCAAGTAAAAAACTCTGCATGAAAAAGTGTGGTTTTAAAACTACAATATCCCTTTGAGATATGTATGATAAACTTAGCCTTAGAGATTAGAATTAAATGTAATGCATCTTCCATTACTCTTAAGAATCTCAACTGGTTGCTATGGTTTAAAAAGTCCAAAGTTAATCACCTTGATTTTTATTCATATTTTAATTAAAATTTATAGGAGGTATTTATGGGATTTACATTTGGAGTAGAAAGTAAAGGTCCTTAGTGTAATGACTTATTAGTCATGTCATAGTTGATATCATTGAATAATAACATTTTTTAACTTAATGCACATCTAAATTGTGCTCAAATAACTGTACTAATGACAGAAAAAAGGTAAAGTATACCCTTATTTTAAACTCAGAAGCTACTTCTTAATACATCCTAAGTCTATACCATGTTATCCATAACTTAGAGAGCAATAAACTACCATAAACAATCAAAGGATAACTTAAATCATTGAGATATCTTATATAGTGCTACGAGTCCTTGATGACTCCTGGGGGCTGTCATTAAACAATACAAATCATGTAAAGTGTGAAAAAGAAACATTTTGATAGAAGACACAGGACATCTTCTGGAAATGATTTTACATTCTGTATTGGATAAAACAGTCCTCAGTACAAACAGAATAAAAACTGACACTTTAAATCTACCACTATTTTTGTTTTTAATCCAGTGACACAGTTTCCGCAACCACCAATTTTGCACTTTAATTTGAATTTTCTCATGATGAAAATACTCTGAATTGTCTTAAGCTCCTCAAGTGTCATAGTTGAGGATCATGATCTTGGCAGATAAAGTATCAATGGCTTATGAGAAAAACATGAATACATGCTTCTTGGTTTCTATTGCCTATTGGCATAAGGTATTTTACCATGACTGATAACAACATGCCAGTGATTTTTGTGATATATGAATCAGTACTCAGTTTCAGTGTTTCCTTGTAGAGATATATAACTGAGGATAGCTCATTTCAATCAGTTCTGTGAGCACAGGAACCAGATAAAGAAATGAGCATGCATTAAACTGCTAAAACATGAGATCCTCCATATCAGATATGAAGCAAAACACAAACTGTGCAGTTGGCTGGAAATGCCACCTAATCCCTGCTTAATTAAAGCAGAGCTCTAAACTCACATTGTGTTAGGGCAGTAAAGAATGTGGGACGACTGATGTATGAAGAAAACAGCACTCGGCGTGGCTAATCTCAAAGACTTTGGAGCTTTCTAGCTACATAAATCAGAGCGACTTCTGAATAGCCTCATAAAACACAGTATCATTGCCATTCCACTCACGACATTTTGGTTCTTCCTACAGCATGCAGATCATTAGGGAACTTCTAAGCAATCAAGTAATGTGGGTCTGATGAAATTACTCAATCAATGCACAGGCTTAAAGTAGAAGCATAATTTCAAAATTGCATAGTTTTTATATGTCAAAAGACCTTTCTTTGGGGTGGGGGGGACAAAGATGATCACAGTGGAGGTGATTCATTTCTACATACTGTGTGTGGGGGGGAGGAATATTAAACAAGTGTATATAATTATCAAGTATTTTAAAATATGATTTAACAGAAACTCAAAGTAATTACAATATTATGCATTTTTGACTGAAATAAACACATTTCCATTTCAACCATTAGAATATATCTCATCATTGTAGTGAATTAATAATGTGTTTAATAAAACATTAATTGGAGTTTTAAATATATAATTGACTTTATTAAACTATCTCCATGAATAGTAAAAAACAAAGAGAAAGAAAGAAGGTTGGACAGAGTTTTCATACATCTATTTTGGTACAATACCAAAAGCATTCAATATGTAAAGAACCTATTATAATGGAATACTACTCGGCTGGAAAAAAGAAGTAAATCTTACCTTTCGGGGCAGCATGGATGGACCTGGAGTGTATTATGCTAAGTGAAATAAGTCAGTCAGAGAAAGACAAGTAGCATATGATTTCACTCGCATGTGGACTCTAATGAACAAAATTAACAAAAAAGAAACAGACTCATAGATACAAAGAATAAACTGACAGCTGTCAGAGGGGAGGGGGGTTGGGGGATGGGTGAAAAGTGAATGGATTAAGCAAAAAAAAAAATTAAAGACAGACAACAGCATGGTGATTACTAGAAGGAAAGGGGAGCAGGGGGGAGGTAGAAGAGGGGAAACCAGGGATAAATGGTGATGGAAGGAGACTTGGCTTAGGGTGGTGAACACACAATACAATATACAGGTGATATGTTATAGAACTGTACACCTGAAACCTACATAATTTTATTAAACAATAAATTAATTTTTAAAAAAAATACCTAAAAGTACAAATTCACTGAGATCAGGGCAATGTCTTACAATAAATCTGTATGCCCCACACTGAAATGTATGTAAAAAGTGTTCAATAAATAACATACAGGATGCTGAAAAAACAAATGAAAAGAACCTATTACAACAGTGTCCTTTTATCTTTCCAGCTTGCCTGAACTACATATTGCACTACTTTCACTTAAACACATCACATGAGGCTGTGGAAACCTTTCATTTCTTCCTATCTCCTTATATCTCTAGAGTTGAAATATTAGACCCCTCCTGTTTCATCACTTTAATCCCTTTAGTCTTGAAATAATATATTTTCCTTAAGCATATTTCTCACATTAACTATTAAATGAAGTCAATCACCTCCTAAACATAATTAATTCTCTTTTTCCTAGCCAACCAAGCAAATAAACTGATCCAGTGAATAGTAACAGGTGCTTTAAAATTTTAATATGAGCATTCAGTTTTGAATTTATTATAGTCAGCCTGGGGTGGGGGTGAAGATGGGAGAGAATTTTAACCTCTAAAGTGCACACAAATTAGTCCTGCTCATCCCTTTTTTTTTTTTTAATTTAGGAGATAACATTTTTCACTATATTATAAAAGATATGGAGCATCTGAAACAATCATCAACTTGCTAGCTTCATGGCATTAGTAGGTAGTCTATAAAAGAAGCTAATCCTCTTGTCTAATGTACTAATTGCGTTCATGTCAAATTGTTTAAGAAGTAACGATTTATTTTAGCAGGATACATACAGTTCATGCATACAACCAGCTTTCTAAAGAAATCTGGAATTTGTACACAGTTACTTTTTTCGGTCTGGTTATAAATAAGCCATGTCACCCTGACAGACAACAGAATGGAAAGGAAAAAAAAAACAAAAAAAAAAAAAAAACAGTTGTGTTCTATTTTGAAGCAAATGCCCAGACTGCATTGCAAAATAGTATTCATCTGGTAAAGGATAGCAAGAGCTGTAGGTGTTTGCAAATAGTTTATTTATTGTGTAGACCACAGAATAAGCAATAAAATAAGCATTTATCCACAAGCCTTCCCTCCTGAGTGATAAAGAGCGTAAGGCAGAAACCCCTAATCATAAAATGAATGTAAAAGTACAATAACAGATATCTACATTCCCGTTCCAGTCATTTACACTGGACATAAATGCAAGTCATTTCTTTAAGAGGAGCACAGTTCCTTTCTGAACTCTACCAAACATTCCTGAACCCCTCCGTAAGACAATTATTTCTCCCTGAAAAGTTCAGAACCCACGGGCACTGTTAGCCCCCGGGCAAAACGTGATCTCGCAGGCAAGCTATCTGGCGTTTAATTTACTTAATGCCTAAGCGCAAGGTTTTCTGAATTCTGACCTCATTACCCCTTGCACAGAGACATATGGTTCTACTGATATAAATGATAGAGAATGGCAGACATGTTTACACAGACAGCCTCCGAGACCGAGCGAGGGAGCCCCCTGGAGCTGGGGCCGGCGCTCAGGGCGCGCACGGGAGAGGAGACCCTGC